AACTGCAAATGAACCATAGCCTCCATCTGCCCAACAGGGTTCATTCTGAAACCGAGTAAATTACCTGGAAAAAAACCTCTACGCTCAGAGACCAGCGACATTGGGCACACAAAACTTCGGAAATGGCTGCACAGAGATTGCCTGTGCCATGCTAAGTTGGCCCCAGCGTACGTCTGCCTCACAAAACAAATCTGTAATCACAAGATCGCCAGCTGTTTTTCTCCCACAAGACCTCTGCCTTGCTCAGTCCTCAGGATGGTTCTGCTCACTGAATGCAGCATTAGTCATCATTTCTTTTCATTATCATTCAAGTTGCTTCCCCAATCCCTCCTACTTTCTTCCCCTTTATTTAGTACGCTCCATCCGACTACTGCCAGCATGGATTACACTGGAAGTACCTCATCTTGCTGTCTACCACTCTCACAGCCTCTGACGTGCTCAGCCTCACATTTCTGCGAGTCAGGGAAGCGCTCCTCTCCATGCAGCAGATGAGGGAGCAGGCTAAAAGAAGCTAAGAGACCTAACAGTGTCATGGCAAAAATCTGCAAGAGCAAGGAGCCTGAACATGGGTCTTCAACTCCTGGGCTGACTCCCTACCCCAGAGAAACCCCTTCTCTCTCCTGACCTGCAAGAACGAATTTTAATCTCTTCCTGAAATTGTTTCCGGTGTTCATCTGTGGAGCTGGAATGCTTGGCGAGCACTGAATTAATCTTCACAGGATGAACGGAAGAAGGTTTTCCTGAACAGAGGAAAACTAGTGAAGAGAAAACTGAGTCTGAACGTCCACTTCTTCCAAGTGCCCCTCTCAAGATGTGCAGGCCCTTGTTTTCCAGCCCACTCAGCTCTGCAGGGTACAGTGGAACCGGCACAGGAATTCCTCCCCACCTGGCCTCCTCCTGCCGCTGGGAACACAGACCAGACCTTAGGTCTTGAGCCAGCCACCAGAAAGCAAAGAACACAAGCTCACTTGCCACCTGAGAACAAGCTAGCTTAAGACTAAGAAAGAACAGAGCGGTAGAGGCAGGGACAGGATCCAGTTCTCCAGGGCAACATTTAACAGGCTTTGCCATGAAACTATTGTGATTTTTCTGCAATTACCTGCCTCATTCACTGCACACCTTCTAATTTTGACAAACAAACGAAGTGGAAGTCCTATAGGCAAGAGTCTACTTTACTCCACACTCCTGATTCATCCCCCAAACACACTGCATCTTTGTGCACTGAATAAGACAGACGTGCTTTGTAAAATATATATATGATCCTTCAATTCAATCTAGTATTGAAACACACATGTGTAACAGGGGCAAGACCAAAGTGCAGAGATATTTCTTAAATCCTGTGTGCTAGATTTTGCAGTTAATGAGGACTCTTTAACTACAGGTTTGTTTTTACTGCATTGTACTGGCTCGTATGTCAGAGTCTGCAGCAATATCTGATGCGTAACATGTACGTTGCAGATGATCAAAGACCTGAGTGTCATCTTCTTCCCTGGAACAATGACTGCCTAAAGCATCAGGAGCAGAAATTATCTAAAGGTAGTGTTAAACAAACCTCCTTCTCCCCTCTGGGGAGAGTAAGCAGTCCAGGTGAGCAAGGTAGGAGGGGAGAACAGTCTGCTTTGTGCTAGACGGGCAGGGAGCTCCACATAAAAGCAGAGGAGCTTTGCAGAAGCATGTCCTGACTCCCATCACTGGAGACTTAATGACGGTTATTCCCAAAGGATGATGCATGCTGACAGGCTTTGACACAAACTACCCCAGGATAACATTAATATGTATTAAAGGCTCAGTCAACTTTATTGGGATGGGCTTGATCAGTAACACATTTCAACAGAGCACTTCTATCATCTGCTGGAACATAAGTAAGGGAGGGAGGAAGAACACACGCGCAACCTCACCTTGCTTTGGGTCGGTTTAGAGACAAACAAGGTTGATGTGTGATGAATTGCATGCTTGGCACAGATCAGATGTTGGACTGAGAACCTTGGACGCTCCACTACGAATACGAATGTCAATGTAGAGCAGTTAATGTCAGGGTCTATCTGCATGATCAGCATCCTTAACCCTCCAACATGGGGCCAGACACCTCCTGCACAGCCCTTCTCTGCATCTGGAACATTTACCCCTTGGAAAGGAGAGGCGAGGTGCTTAGGAGGCAGTGTGGGGGCTCTGCTGTCACAGCAATGGGGGAAGGGGGAGTGGAAGAAAGAACCACGGAAGCCTTTGATCATGTGTAATGTTAATGCAAGTGTTACACATCAGAGACTTTGCCACGGTAACTAGCATATAAACAGGAGTCTAGTGTTAACAAGGAGGACTTCTTGAATATGTTTGTACATTTCTGAGTCAAAGCAATTTCCCTATTCAACAATACATGACACAGTGGAAGAAGTTCAGAAATAAACCAGCCTGACATGCTTAGACCTTTAATAGAATTTAGCTTCTTAGAACTAATTAAATGTTACTTAAATGGAAAAAAAAATCCAAGTACTTGGGAAAGGTGCCAATTTGACAGCTCTGGAGAATGAAATAATCTAATCATCCCTAGAGCATGGGCAGCAGCAGGACAGGCTTCCCCTACTAACATGCCTCAAACATGACCTGGAAAGGCTGTTGATAGAATGGGGCGTACAATCTCCGTGGTCTAATGACTCCTTGCCTTTTCTGCTGAGACTGCTAAAACGGTTCCCGCCGAGTACCAGCTGCGGTGGTGATACGGACACCTGTCTGATAGGAACGGCTCCGGGACCTGTCAAACTCCTGTCAACTGCTAACTCTCCACTGCAGCCCAGCGACTCAGCTCATTGCTCAGCCCGGGCAGTGGGGGCTGATAGACTGTGCAGCAGCTCTCCGGCCTGTCCCACCTTGGACATGCTCCACTCCAGCCCACACGATGTCAACAGGAGATACTATGTTTAGTCTGCAGGTTTGAGCTTTCACTGTACCAAAGCTCAGGCTCAAGAGGAGTCACTTTATAGCTGCTGCGGAGTCAAGGCCAGGAGTTTTCAGGCTCTTATTCCTCCCCTAAGATAGGGAAAAAGTCCTCAGGAGGAGATGCCTGCCGTCCCTCTTCCTCTCCACAGTCCTTCCCTTTGCTCATCTTTGCCACAAGCCCCTGCATTGCAGTGATCTGTTCTCAGCCGCCAACTCTCCTTGGAGCTCCTTGCTGTGCCTGGGGTCCCAAGCGAGGGAGGAGAGAAATCCTCCCTGGGCCTTGCTGTGAATGCTTGCGGGGCTTGCCAACTCGGCCAGCCCAGGCTGCAAGGAACTCAACCAAACACAGCTCGCCCCCTTGGAAATTTTATGCACCACAACTTCTCCTAGTTCTGAAGCAAAGCCACATGAACCTCCCTCCCAGCACCACAGGGACTGCTGCGCACAGATCAAGCTTCCCATTGCATATTAAGCCAAGAGCATCCGACACTCCCACATATGTATCTCACGCAACTGGGTGCTCCTCCTCTTGTCCCAGGCTGCTTTTAGCCTCCCTTCCTCCCCCACCCAGTCTGTCTTCCTTCATTCTCATCACAGGCCGGGGCAGGAGCCAGCAGCGGAGCCAGTCACTTCAGACAAGAAGATCCAATAAGTTGACCTTGTGTAAGAGACAAAAGAGGGAACTCGCGTCTCCGTACCCCTTGGGAGCTAGCAATTCTCCATCTTTCCCTCCCACCTACTTCAAAAAACTTCCGTAATTTTCAGCAGGCATGGAAGCAAACAGATTCACAAGGGTTAATATAAGTTACATGTCTGAATGGTGACCTCATTATTGCCATTCTTCACTGTTTAGAGGTTACTGGACTACTCTACACATCAATACATTTTAAGATGTGATGTAAATGCAAACAAACACTCTTATGTTTGCAGTTAACACAGTCACAAGATCCTGTGTATCATGTGTTGGCAAGCACAGGAACCAACAGCAAATGACCCACCCTTAAACCTGACCCTTTGCTGTTAATCATTACAGGAGTGTTGCACTTTCCAGTCAGTACAATCAAAGCACACAAGCTCTTTGAAAATCCCTACACACAAGATGATTCTAGCCAAGATCAGCTCCTTTACAAGTCGTATAGATTTCAAGCTACGATGTCCTCCAGACGTATGAATACGGGCAGTAGAACACCTTGAAAACAAGTTGCTGGAAGGTTAACTGCATCACTGCAATGCTAAAACAACCCCCTGCCTTACAAACAGAAGGGGAGGCAGGAACGCCACAGTAATAGTGAAGGCAGAGACATACCGCATGCAAGTAATCCCTCAGAGATGGACTTTTCTGAATAAACACATTCCCCAAAGCTTTTTTTTCTTTTCAAAATACATAACCATGAAGAAACTGAAGGTTAGAATAACGCTACACCATCATATCATTACTGCATCACTGCTCCGTAGGACTGACCCTCAGCACGAAGCAGATGGGGAGTTTCCAAGGAAAATCTGTGATACAGAAAAAATCTGGGTGCAGAAAACGTGTGGGTGCTTCAAGCAACTACGAGCTTTTGTCAAAGAATCAATAGGAAAGAGCTAAAACTGAAAGAAGCTGTGCTCTCTGTGCTGCTCTCCTGTTAGGGGTGATGTAAAACTGAGATCTTGGCTCTGTAGGATCACAGTCCCACAGCTTTCTAGCTCTTCCGCCCTGGCTCTGTTCTTGTTTAGGTCATTCCACTCTGCCTCCCCAAATTCCTTTCTGGAAGAAATCAAGAGTAAATACAGCCTGTAAAGTGTTCGTTGACTCCAGGAAACGGACACTACTGTATTCACAGATGATTTCTGAACTTTCCAGCCACTGCTTATTAATTTGAGTTCCATTAATATAAATAGTAACAGTTCACCATTATTTTTTGAGTCCATAATTACCCAAAATATTACACAAGAGCTATGAGAGACGTTGCAGCAGAAAATACAGGTTTGTTAACGTTTTAAACCACATAAGCCCTTAGGAGGATCATTTTTAGGACACAGTAAAGGAGGAAGAGGGAGAAAAAGGAAGGAGGCTCTCTCACTTGTAACCAAGGTCCGTGTGCTGCATAGGGGTGCTCTTCTGTAGCAAAGGCTCCTTCTACTCCCGTTGATACAAACGTGATTGCTGTATCCCCTGTAATACTTTTATATGTAAAGTGCCGTCCATGTAAGAGCCTTCCCCTGGGGAATAAAACACATTTGTGTGAATTGAGAGGGTGCGAGCAGCATTCAACAAAATCATGAAGATATATCACTACAGCTTCTACCATCAGCATAGGAAAACATTTTGAAGGCACCAACTATTAATTTTTCAGGAATATATGAAGGATTTGCTCCACAAAGCAGGTGACAAGCCTTTTTCTGAGGCAGAGAGTTCCCCGTTATCTCCTCCCTCAATCTCAGGGCCTTGTTACAGAACTAGAATACATCTAAATCCCCCTGAATGCCTACCCCCATGACAAGGTGCTGATGTATGTAAGGGCAGGAGACTGCCAGTCTTTCAGTTAAGATGAAAACTGCAGAAGAGAATCCAGACACCACATCATGTGGGAACGTGAAGATGCCTTTCTAAGCAGTCTTATCAGTGGGGCCAAATTTACCTACCATGACAATATCTAGTAATCTGTTCCCCTGGTGCTTGACAAACGTAATCTGGATTACTTAAGCAAATACCTAGAAAATATACATACATGGCCATCTATGGTATCACTTCCTTTTTCATTCAGTGCTTTCCACACGGAAAATCATGGCTCTGGTATTTAGGCTCAGAGCATATGTGACATGCGTGCATGGCTTCCAACATGCAAGGGGGAAAACTTTAGGCAAGATATATAGCACCTAACGATCTCATAGTTGCTTGACAAGTTACTGCTGGTCAGCTAAGCTGTGGTAACTGATCAGGACACACTGGTCACGCATTTGTGATGTAAAGTGAAATACATTTGTGTTAACTATCCCATTGGTTTCTCAACAAGCACAGGTGAGTGTGCACCTGCTGCTGCTAACTCTGATACCGCAGACATGTAACTCATAAAGCTAAAGTAACTCAATCACCTACAATCATTTGCCTCTACCCCACAGTTCATCTTTATGTTACGATGATATCCGAAACCAGGACAGGACTACATTTGCCACAGGTATTTTTAAAAGTAGCGCTGACTGAAATTGTGGAAGCCTAGAAAAGTCACTTACAGTGGTATGCACAGCCTCAACCTTCAAAAGACAACGTGTAGAGTACGCAAGCAATGTTTTGTTCCTTCGATCATGCAAGTGACATAATTTTTCTAAATAACATACTTGCATGCATAAACTGACTGCAAACAGGCTCTGCACAACCACTTTTGTGTGAGTCCGTAAGCCAGAATTAACAATTAAGAGTTTTCTTTGACAGAGTTTATCACAGAGTTGCCAGCATTAGACTGATAAAAAAATCCCTATGCTAACCCTGTCCTATTTCAGGACTCAAATACACTGGAGGACAAAAAAAGAACGAGAAACAATCTCACCACGATGAACACACATGCAAAGAATCATCTATTTCTAATGTGTTTTGGCAAGATATCTCAGCTCTGGCCTTTAAAGACCCATTTCTTGCATGTCTGCACGGTGAAACAATGCCACAAGGCAAAAGCGGCATGTTAGCGCAAGCGGAGGAGGAGGATGGCTTCACTCACCTTAGACAGAGGGGAATCAGAGCTCCGGACTCCTGGTTAAATTTCAGGTGTACGCTCTCCAGTTGTCTCGTGCGGATTAGCTCATGAGGAATGATAGCTGCTGAGCTCTCGCTTTCTAAACTGTCCTTACGGCTTCTAAGAGAAGAGGCAAAATGCATATATTTAGGACCCCAGCGCTGTGTGCTATTTCTGCTGCGTTTCACAGCAATTGTGCAAATATTGAAGGACACAGGAGCAAACTGTTATGAAGACACATCTGAGTTTTCATCACCCCTACAGAGACACTGCCTCCCTCAGACTACTGGGTACAGCATGCAGATCTTCACCTTGATTTGTTGACCTAGGATCTGAATTGCATCCCTTCCTAGTATACAAAAAATAAAATTTCTGGGAAGAACTGGAGCAAAACTACTCTCTCCGAACCCCTAAACTACTATAAAATAGCTTGGAAGAATTACTAGGTGTGCCTTCCCTCCTGCTTTTGATTCACCTTCAACATTTTTAGTCAGTGGCCTGCAAGAAAGAGTTGTCCAGTCCCTTGTGCCCTTGCTCAAGTATCTTTGAGGTCTGAGGCATCCCTACAATTATCCCCAAATAATTTCTTTCCACAGTTCAACCAAAAGGTTTTGAGAACATTTTGCTTCCACCAGCATCAAGTGCAACAGCCAAAAGATGGACTCTACGTGGGACGAGAAGGACATCTGCAGATGGCTTTCCCTTGGAAGTGGGGCTGCTTTAAGACAATGCAGCTTTGCTTTCTTATTTATTCATTCATTTCTGCAGGGCCAGCATATTGTGAAGCTATGACTAAAGGTTATGTTGTTACATGATTAGGAACTTTGCCAGAAAGAATCCTGGTATATCTCAAAATACTTGACCATAAACACTTTATATGTTCAAAGAGCATCACTGTAATCCCTCACTTGATAATCCAGAACAAAGACTGAAGGATGGGGAGGGGGTATGATTTTTGTGGATGACATGGACTCATGTGATGTGTCTGATACGAGATTTATATTTTTGTGACCTGGAGTTCCACATGGACTTAACAGAGGTAAGACTTTGTTAAGATAGTTTTTGTAGTACAGAATCACCAGAGGAGTGGGATGGGAAAGAAGGAGGGAGCTGAAAGATGCCATACTGCAATGTAGTTGCATTGTGCCAGACAGACCAAAAGCCAAACCAGATCAAGGCTATCAGGCTGTGGCTCCATTTGGGAACACTGTAAAAACAAGCCTGGATCCTTCCTCCACCCAAGCAGAGCCATCTTTAATGTACATCTGGAAATAATTGTAAAGAAACAGCTTGACCCTCATGAGCTGACTTAGATCACACCTCTACTTGATTTTACATTTGGGTGCTGTACCAAAATTACTCCCATCCACCACACACATAGCCATACAGTTCAGTGTGGCTTCCGAAGCAGATTAGCCTATTGCCTCTGCCAGGTCACCAAGTCCCAGGTGAGCCTTTCATCCAGGCTGCTGAGCTGCCCACTCTGAAACAAGGATACAGGCTGAACTCTTCATATCTCACAGTGCCTTCCTCCAAATACCCTGCATGGCCAGGACAGAGACATGCAGGGGGAAAAAAAAAAATCGGAGCAGCTCAGCTCCTTCCAAGATAAAAAACTGTAAAATGTGAGCCATGCTCTGCCTTAGCAACACACAAAAGCAATAATGGACCTAGCAAGGACACAGTAGGTCTGGGTACAGTTTATGCACGGGGTGGGCTGATGGACTGACAGTCAGCAGAGTGTCAGTCTGGTGGGTTAACCCCTAAGCAAAGGCACAACATGCTTTGTAGTCTATAGGTGGCACTTAAAGCTGTGTTTAATCTACTTCAGCAAATATTTTACAGCTCTTTGTAGGTGGGGTCTTCAAAGAGTGGAGAGGGCCAGCATTTTGCAGGCTGATTACCTGAGAAGAGCAGTTACAGTTGATTAATGATCAGTTGACCTTAAGCTAAGCTTTGCCTCCACTTCCTTATCAGATCTTATATACACAGTGAGCTGTGGGAAAGTCAGCCTGTGGTCTACCGCTTCCAATCATTCATTTATCAGTCCCTACCAAAAGGGTCAGCCATTAGCAACCCATGATTTTCAAGCAGGCCATAATCTTGCACTCCTTCAACGCAGTTCCAGAGTTTACACATCCTGGAGTAGATCAGGAGTTTTACAACCACGTTATTGCTACATACAAGAGACTGTGTCCTTCTCACCTGGACCGGGTAAGGGCACTGGGTATGTCCCGTAACACAACCGCCCAGGCGATCATTGCTGTAGGTTCATGCTTCGGGAGGACAGACAGCCGCAGGACAGTTCCCCATACCCCTGGGCTCCAAACCCCCGGAACTGAAGGAGGGTTTTTAGGTTTCCACCATGCTAGCCAGTACAGCTGCTAGCACAATGGGGCCATGGTCCAGAGAGGAAACAGCCTGTTAATGCAATAACAGGAATGACGACAATATTCTGGAGGCAAGGGGCAAAGCTTTCTAAGTCTGATTAAAAACAGCAAATGCTGTTTGTCATTACACGCTCAAGAGAAGATGTTGACTAATGTATAACTATCAAATGGAACTGTCAAGACTTTAAGGCTGTCAATAATTATGACTTCGTATTAATAAGTAACCAGCCCTTCTGTCAAAAAGGAGGAGTGAAGCAAAATGGTAGTTAATACTTTGAATGACATGAAATTATGAATTCTTTCCACAAAACTTATCCAAAATGGTCACTGCCTCTGTGTTTCTTGCTTCACTTTGGTGGACCTCACACAATTTTAGCTATTTAAAGTTAAGGGCAAAACTCCAATAGTAGAAACCAAATAACCTTCTATCTAAGCTATATCCTTCTAAAACAGAGTTTTGTATGGTGGGCATTTCTGGACCTGTTGTGGACTGTGCATAACACAAGGCCACAGTGCCATTGCTTTCAGAATCTGGAACATGTTTCCTGACACAGGGACTCGGCAAGACTCATTAAAATTCTCCCTTTGGGAATGGAAATCCTTGCGCTGACCCTTCCAAAGGGTGATGGCCCAGCTGAAGGGTCGTCAGGACTTCTTAGGTTGTTATTAATAAAAAGTTCATGTCGTAACACATGCTGCCATCCACAGCTTGCAGTTTTCAGCCTCAGAAGAAAATGTAGAAAAAGTTTGCTTTCTAACACTAACATCCCTGGTTTTACGACTGTCAGTTACCCGTAAGCCTTTGCTTCCTCCACCCCATCACCAAATAAATCAGCAGCAAAAGCCAGTGGAGTTTTATTTGTTATGACTAAGATCTAGCTGACTATCATGTAAAATGTTGCAAACTTTGTCTATTCCAGATTTAATACTTCATCCAACCCACACAAAAAAATTCATGTTTCTTAGTGTCCAGAAAAAACAAGTCTGCAAAAGCCAGGGCTGCTGCATTAGGAAAAAGTAGATTTAAATGGAAGCAGCATGCCGGAAATGCCCCAGTTTAAGGACTGCACATCTCATGTTCTGTGAAACTGGAGGGGAGTTGGAGGAGATTAAAGCGCATTTTCCTCTGATTGGGAGCTTGTGGGAGGTGTAAACGTGGGCAGTTGTCAGATTAATTCTTTAGATGATTACATTCTTTTTGTTTCTTTAAAGCTGTTTGTAGTTGGGTTTGATGTCTCCTGTTCTGGGCAAGTGTATTGCTGCAGTTACCAAGGTGACTTTAGCTGACTTTCAACTATTTTTTCCAGCTTTGGTTTCTACCAGTAGTCTGCTTCTGGGCGGAGGAGAGAGGAAGGAAATGATGTTTGTTGGGTTTTTTTTTTTTTTTGGGGGGGGGGGGGTTAAGTCTCATGAATGCTGATTAACAGTCCATGAACTTAACCAAAGACATATTTGATTTTTTTTTTTGAGAGAGAGAGAGTGAAAGAGAGGGGTGGTCAAACAGTTGCAAAGGTGTCCCATGTGGCCTGCAGCTTCCCCAGACCTTTGTCATCAGGAAGAAAGGGCCCGAGGAGACTACACGTCCCAGCGTGCTGTGCTCCTTCTTGATGTGAGCGGCCACACGCTGGAACCTGTAGCCTCCCACAGGCCCTCTCTTTGTATTAAAGATGAGGGTGGCTGCAACCTGCTTAATTTTATGCCAATTAGCAGCAGCCCATGGGGATCCTGGAAAATCACCAATTCAATCATTGGGTTGCACAAAGTTTGGATGTCCCCTCCTCTTAAGTCATGTTTACAGCAACCTCTTCTCAAGCAACCCCACTGGCAGTTATTTTATGGGATTCAAGAATAACCAGGTTGATCGGATTAAGAAAGGTTTATTTATTCTTGCATTTGCATTTTGCTTTATGATCAGGGTGCTTGATCTCATGGATATGTCACGGAAGGAGGTCTCAGTTCCCTTCCAAGACCTGTTGCTAACGTGAAGCATAATTTTGCTGCATTTCCAAGCTACCCTCCCAGGTACCGAAATCACAAAGGATATGTTGTTGGAATGTGGCCACGGCAGGAGCTCTTTGTAGGAGTAGGTGCCCACTGCATCACTAACCTGAGTTACAGTCACTGCTCTTTGCTGCTTTGGTACAAAACCCAGCACTGTTAGCAAATGCAAACCATTAGTGCAAGCTTACACAGCTGGGAGGGAAAGGTTGGACCACTTCCCTCCTCTGCTCCTCCCCGCCTTCTTTCTTCCCTTCCCAACTGTGGCTACTCCAAATCTCTTCACTCCCTAATGAAGGTATGGTCAAAGATCACTTAAGTGCCAGCAATCTTCCAGCGTCTTCCCACAGTTTCCCCTGAAGGGCAAACCAGCTGTTGTGGGAAAGAGCCCTAAGCATCTTGGCACACCGAGTTAAAGGACACGTCACAGAGGCACAGAGGCAAGTGAAGAAATGGGGAGGACACAGTTACGCAGCTCCTGCTGTGGTCACACCAAGACAAGGCTGGCTTGAGTGCTCAGACCTGGGTGCTCATCATCCCGGTTAAACCAGATGGTGAAGATGTTCTGTGTGCGTTTCCTGGCACGGAAGGGCTCCAAGGACAATGCCAGTAGCAACAGTCTTCTTGCCACTCACATATCCCTTTGGAAAGCTGCATAATAACTACTGTCAGTGCTTGCAGGGGCCAGACTGTTCCAGACCTGCAGCTGAACTGGGATTGAGAGATTTAGGC